GGCCTCAAGTTGGTGTTAAATGATATGAAAAAGAATGGTAGAAATTTTTACTTTGTTGTGTCAGTCATAGCAAGAGAAAGCCAAGGTTCAGTACCAAAGAACATGTCTCTTGTTTTCATATCTACTTTTTTGTAAAATTGCTAGAAAACAGCTTTGCAATTCCTGGATTCTTTTACAGAATTTTTGCCATATGTTCATCCCAGCAAAAAAGAGTCCTGTGCCTCAGAATTGCTGATTCTATGTGTCAGTTCCAGGAGGACGTGATGTTTGCACCATTGTGACTAGAGGATAAAAATTATCACCCTTGTACATTTTCTAGGCCTCCTCATTATTATATAATCATCCAAAAGCTTCTATTTAATTTTTGCTCTCGTTTTACCAAGTATAAATGGGATTTCTGCATTCTGAAAACATATAAAATGCATATGTATACTATCTATAATGGGTGGAAAGCTAGAAGTGTTGATAAGGGACCAAATTAAAAAGATGAAACCAGTTATTTTGTCTTTAAGAGTAGTATTTACAACTAAGTAGTATTACAACTAACTATTTACAATTGAAGAAACAGAAATTGTTGAACGTTGACAATATTTGTGGTAAACCATGCCCTCTTCCATTTATGGGATATAAACTATATCTAGGAGGTAATGCATGATTTTCTAATATATAACAAAATTAGGACATTCTTTTCACATTGCTGTTTATAGAAAGGAGGAATTCTTGGTGACTGGAAGTTGACTCAGCTTAGGACTGAGCAGGACAATTGTGATTAGAGCAGGAAAATTCACTTTTATATACTTGAATTCAAAAATTATAGTCTTTGATTGGCTTACTTGTTGGTAGTTCTGGAAAAACTCAGTAACTCTAAATTCATTAATAAAATTTTTCTGTCCCACCAGGACCTACTGTTGAGTAATCCTACAGCCTTTTCATTGTTTCTCACCTACCTTTTTTTTTTTTCCCCACCTTCCTTCTCCAGGGTAAACGTTTTCACTTTCTAGCATGCATTGTCAACTCCCTTTGGCTCCTCTGGCTTCATCACATTCACCTGATGCAACTCTAACCTTTCTGAAATTTAAATCTCTGCCTTTTCTATTCTTAAACGAATGCAAGCCAGTATGTTTAAAAAATACATTGCTTATTAATTGATCTAACTTTTTAATTCATGGTGATTAACCTCAAATGGACCCTTGATACTTTCCGGATAAATTATATTCAATATACCATTATTATGTTTAAATTTATAAATCACTTATTTCACTGAGAACATTGAAACAATCAAGAAGAAATCTCCAAGTTCCTACTACCACCTTTATCACATACCTGCATCTTTATCTATATACTTTTCCTGCTTGCCTGGTATTGTGGATGAAGTGTGCAAACTTTTGTCTGAATGCAGCTCCTACACTTGTCCGTTATGTCCCATTTCCTCTTACTTGCTGAAAGACATCACAGCAGCAATTGGATAGTTCCTTTCTGAGTCATCACTTTTTCTCCTTTTACCAGATCATTTTCCATCAGCATTCAAAAGTGCTGAAATTTATTCTGACTTAAAAAATATCTCCTAATAGGCTCACAGACGTAGAAAACAAACTTATGTTACCAGAGGAGAAAGGGGGGGGAGGGAGGGATAAATTAGGAGTTTGGGATTAACAGATAGACACCATTATACATAAAATAGATAAACAGCAAAGACCTAGTGTATAGCACAGGGAACTATATTCAGTATTTTGCAATAATCTATAATGGAAAATATATATATATATATATGTGTGTGTGTGTGTGTGTGTGTATATGACTGAATCACTTTGCTGTACACCTGAAACTAACACAACATTGTAAACAACTATACTTCAATTAAAAATAAATTAAATTTTAAAAATCTCCTGATCTTAAATCCCCCCTCAAGCTAATGCTTCACTTCTTTTCATCTGTTTATGGCAAGACTCCTCAGAAGAATCATCTGCATGGGCTGTCTCCAGTTAGTCTTCCTTTATCTTCTATTGAATCTGAATGAATGTCTGCCTCTCCACCTGTTATGCTCTGATCACATTTACCAATTTATCCCATGTTGCTAAATCCAATAGTTAACTCTCAGACCCCATATTAAATCACCTCTCAGTAGCACTTGACAGAGTTGATTATTCCTTTTTCTTTGAAATCCTTTTGTCACATGGCTTTAAGATGCCACCACATTCTTTGGAATTTTCTATTTCACAAAAATATTCCTCAATTTCCCACTAAACTTTGTAGGGCTCTGGAGCCCAGACCTCAGGGCTCTTTATGATTTACCTATACTCATTTGTAAGACAGACTCTTCCAAAATTTATCTCTTCGCCTTGGACTTGCAGCTGAACTCCAGATTTATATATCCAGCTGCTTATTAAACATCACCGCTTGAATGTCTAATAAGCATCTCAGCTTTATGGGCCCCAAACTAAATGTCTTTTCTTCATCTCCAACCTATAGTCTTCTCCATCTTAGTAAATAGTAAACATATCCCCTTGGCTCAGGTGAAAACTTTGGGAGTTATTTTTGACTTCACTCTTTGTCACATACCTTATATCCATTCCCCCAGCAAATCCTGTTGGCTTTATGTTCAGAATATGTCCATATTCCAACAGATCACAACCACCACAGTGCTACCCACAGTGCATGGCAGCATCAGTGCTCTTGCCATGACTGAAATGGTCTAATTACTTACTTCACCATTTCTACTCTCACCCTCCCACTCCATGCGCTGTACAGCTGCTAAAGTGATTCTTTTAGAACTTAGGTCATGTTCCCCTCCTCTGCTCAAGCACTAATGATCTGCCCTTTACCTCAGAGTAAGAGCCAGAGTCCTTACAATCACCTCAGACTTCCTCATGGCTTTTTTCATTACACACATTCAGTTTTTTTCAGATGTCAGCTCCATAATGAAGCCTTTGCTGACCACTCAATTTAAAATTGTAAAACAACTCCCAAGCCCTAGAACTTCCCATTTCCCTTCAATCTTTATCATTTTTCTAAAGAACTTACCACATCATTGTATACCATATATCTTATCTATTTAGTTTTTATTGTCTGTCTTTCCTCATATAAAGTGAACTCCCTAAGCAGGGCTTTTTCCTTTTTCTCTTTTGTTTCATGTAATAATCTTAGTGTCTAGAACAGTACCTGGCACTTAACATTTGTTGAAATAATGAAAAAAATGAGGCTTTTATAGAAGTTGAACAATATATTGAGTCTTTAGAAGTACCTTTATAATTAAAGGATTACAAGATGTAGAGTATTATAGTCTCTTCAACTTAAGGCTAGATGCATGAATATCATATTTTTGTTCATGTTCCTAGGTGTCCGTTTATTGTTAACCAAATTAAAGCATTGGGGTCTACTTAAGTAGTGATGCTGAAAAAGGCATATGAGTGTATGTGCGTGTTTGTGTATGTGTGTGTTCTTCCTTTACCACTCCTGCTCACAACGTATCACTGCTTTATTTCAAGATTCCTAATGGCTCCAAACTTACACACACACATACACACATCACACACTTTCCAGAATTAGGTGCATCTACCTGTCTAATTAGTTCATATCACTTCTCACCAAGGACCTGCCATTTCTGCAACTCTTGTCTCAGAGCACCTTGCTCTCTTTACATCCAGGCCATCACCTATGAATTTCCCTCACCTTGAATGTGCTGACATTTCCTATCTATCTTAGAAAATGCTCACTGTTACCTTTAACAGATGTTCCCAATACTGACTTGCCTCTTCTCCCTATACTTATAGACATGATTGTTTATATCATTCATGTAACATTTATCCTAACCTGCCTTATAATTGATGTATGTGTGTCATATGGCTCCATTGTCCTTCTAAAACATACACCTGGAAAAAGTTAATCTAAGTGAATCAAACTGCCTGTCTTCTTTGAGTTTATACCCTTACTGCTAAGCACTAATGGAGATAAACTCATTACCTAGCAGATTAGTGCTGCTCTAAATTCGTGATATCCAACTTCAACTGGGCTGCCATTGATTTCCTAATTAGTTCTCACTCCCATTTCTTTGCAACAGATATTTCCAGCCTTCTCCATTCTCCTTAAACCTCTGTTCCTGCCAGTTTGCTTCTCACCCCTCAGCATATGTCCTAGCCTCCTACTTAAAGGAGAAAATAGAAGCCTACTAATGACTCTCAACTTTATGCAACCAGAGCAGCTTATTTGCACCCACACTTATCCTTTCCTCCTCTCTCTTCTTTCGGCGGCGTATGAATTAACTGTCTGATGCTAATCTCCCCACCTGTGCCCTTGATCTCTTTCTTTCTCACCTTTTCAGCATTCTCACTCTAAGAATTGAGGAGGATTCCTTCTCCTGTGTCTTCAACTCTACCATTATTTTTGGCTTCCTTTCCCTCAGTACCAAACATGCTTGCCTAAGTTTAAAACAACCTCTTCTTGGTATCATATTATTCTCTAGCCACCACCTTCTTTTCCTCTTTCTTTCATAGATACAGACCTAAAGTGTTGACCATCCTTGTGGTTACTCTTTTCATCTCACTCATTCCTCAGTCTACTGTATTCTAGCCTCTGCGCTGACTACAACAGAGACCATAACTCTACATCTAGGATGAAGTCTTAATTCGTAGCATCGTTAATAAAATAAGGAAAGCTGCCTTTTCATCCCCAGCTCTAGTCATGCCTTCCTCAGTGTTCCCATTCCCATGCTCTCCCCCTCCCCCAAAACTATGTACCACAGCTTCTTAAGTCTTAGAATATGTAATGATCTCTCCTTCTCTGACCTTCAGAATTTCTGGTCTTGTGACTTTGGCTGATTGGTTAGCATTTGAATATCCTCCAGGTCTCACTTGAGATACTACTTTATTCAGAAAATGTCTCTGACCGTGGTCTTCCCCAAATCTGTTAAGGTGGTCTGTGTATGTTGTCCCATAGCAAGTTCTTACTTCCTGTCACATTGTAATTGCTCATTTAATTGTCTACATCCACCACTAGATCACAAGTTTCATTATGGCATACAGCCACATCTCCTTGTTTATCATTAGTTCCTTGGTTTTCTACAACAGAGTTTGTAGTATACACACTATAGTATCAGTCACTGTGAGATATATATATCTATAGAGATATATAGAGATAGATTGATAGATATAAATTTCAACAATAAACGTATGTTTTCCCATTTGCAAACACGTTAGGGTTTGTGAGGCAACAGATGCAAACATAGGGTTACATTATCACTGTAAATCATCACATTTGCTTAACATTTTTGGAATTCTAGACAATCATTTCCATAGCTGTCTTTAACTAAACATGTTTTTCCAATAATATAGCCAAATTTCAATATAATATGCATGTAATATTAATATATATTAGTGTAATACAGATATTGGCTATATGCCAGAGTGTCCAAGACTTAGTCCTTGATCCTTACCCTTTCTTGACCATCATTCTTTTGATAATTTTAATGAATCTTGTGAAGTATTTTATTAGTTATGTATTGCTCTGTAACCAGTCACCCCCGAAGTTGTTGGTATAAAACAACAGCAGTTTCTTATCTTTCATGATTTACGGGTTTACTGGATGGTTCCTCTCCTGGTGACACTTGGCTCACTCATGCCACTGCATTCAACTGGAAGGTAGGCTGGAAGGTCCAAGATGCCCTCACACGCAGGTTTGGTGGTTGGTTCTGGCTGTCAGCAGGGTTGCCTTGGTTCTCCCTGTTGTCTCACGTTGTCCTACAGGTCAGATGGGCTTCCTTACATTGCAGTTTCAGGGCAGTGCTCTAAGGGAGTGAAAGGAAAGCTAAAAGACCTGTATAGACTTAGCCTCAGAGGTCATATCATCCCTTCTGCCACAGTTTATTGGTCAAAGTAAGTCACAAAATCAGTGCACAAGTAGGAGATGGAAAAATAGATTTCACTTTTTAATGGAAGGAGAACAAAGTCATATTACAAAGGTACAGGCAAACTGGGGCAGGATGATGCTGTGTCTCTCCACAGGAAAAAAAAAAAACAATCTATATGATAATGACTCTCAAAATTTCATATTCTGCCCACACATCTTTATCAGGATTAGACTTGTATATTTGACTGCCAAACTAACATCTACATGGACATCTAAAATGAGCATGTCCAAAACTGAACCCCTTATCCTTCCTACTCTGGAAACTGCTCCACTTAACATCTTCTCTGTCCCAGTTAATGGCAAATCCATCCTTCTAGCTGCTCTAGCAAATTTTTGATATCACCTTTGTCTAGAGTGGCTTTATCATCTATCTTCCAAATTGGGATACATTTGAAAGAGAAAACAAAAGTGAAAAATAATTGAAATGATGTAATTTTTTAAATACGTATTTTTCAACAATTTGACCTTATTGTGGATTTCAAAAATATTTTATTCAAAAGTCCTTTCAAAAATAACATTCTTCTAAAATAAAATTTACATGTATTCTTATATTTTAAGAAATAGAAAATAGTGATTTTTTGAACTGCTGATACATTCAATGCATTCTTTTCTTTACACTATATTTTTAAATGAGAAAAATACTGTAAGTGTCAAGGTATCTAGGAAGCTCATAGAAAATTCTGCTAAAAGGAGGATATTTCAGTTCTGATTTTTTTATTAACGTATATATATATAGTTCATTTCAAATATGCCATAAGTTCTTTTTTTTTGCCTCCATCAGGACTACCTTTCTTTGATAACTATTTTTACAGTAAAAAATTTGTCAGATAATTTTCTCTACATATGATTTCTTTGAGTGTTTCATCATTTCGATGCTACAAAACCATAGGACTTTGCAACTTTATTCCATTGGTTCAAAATGAACATGTATCCAATTAAAAATGGGAGCTCTATGAAAAGAATCTTTCCATACTTGGGATATTGCAAAGTGAAATTATCAAATTTCAAAATGAAATCATATATATCATTTGACCTGTCATCACCTATATTTTCCTGTTGTCTGTTTTTTTTACAGAAATACATTTGTAAGCCTTTCTGTTTTCAGGTTTAATTTTAATAATTAACTATAATCTATTAAAATCTTTGGTAGCTAGAGTTTTGTTTTGTTTTCTTTTAGGCTTTTTCATCCCTAAGTACTTCAATTAAAGATTTCTGATTTGAATGAAAATTAATCAACATTTAAAGGACTAACTCAGAAAAAGTTCACTGTCACGTAGAACACAGTAGTAACTCAAAGGATCGGATTTGGGATGCACTGCCTTGCTAAAGTTTTTTTTTTTAATTAAACATCAGCTTTATAGCTGTTTTTCTGCGTGTGTGTACAATACTATTTATAAATTTTGACAACTTCCATTTTCATTTTTAAAATATCACCACAAATTTAGACTTAGTTTTGAATTATGCATGTCCCACAACCAATTCCAGTATATTTCTACTACACAAAGACCTTAATTATTAAGAACATCGTTCTTTTCATTATGACTATGGTACTGTATCCCCCAAAATTTGCGTTCAAATTTTCACTACAAAACAAATAATTTTACCTTTATTGTTTCAGTCACCCAAGTGGCATTTGAAGTAATGTTAGAAATTTCACTGGCAAAGGAGTGAAACTTTAAAAGCTTTAATTTGAACTGGATGAATAAAGTAACGAAACCATTAGTGACTTAACTGATTTTCTATCTGAAGAATCTAACAAAACTTACATAGCACCAGCATCACTTAATTATTCATGAAACTCTTCAACTGTTGGACCACAAGAAACTTGAAATGGAAGATGAACAAAAGTAATTTAAAATAATGAGCAATGATGGAAAAGTCATTCTTCATTTAGTAACTTATAAACCCACATTTGGCAGGTCCAACTATAAAATAATTTGGGGGTAACTATCTTCTTTAAAATCTTCACTGATGCTTCTTCATCACATTTGTGTGTTCTGCTCTTCATGTGACCTGTGGTATCGTTAATACCACCATGGAAGATGGCAAATACCAACAAGAGTTTGTGAAGGTTGCATATTTATCATCAACTTTCTTGTGGAATGAAAACTCAGTACTTTTTGTTATTATTAGACATCAATTTACTGTTTCATAGTTTAGCAAAACCAAAAATGTTTGTTGCAAACTATTATAGAAATATTACAAGATAATAAAACAGTTACAGATTTATGCCATATGATGTATGACATATACTAATATAAAATATCATGGTAGCAAGAGTGCTCAGATTCTTTTCTATACAGGACTAGTCTATTTCTAATTTCCCCTTGTATTTCATAAGCCACTGTGACCATCAATGCCACTGTCTGGTGATCTAGTGGCATTGTGTATCTCACAGGCCCAGCAGACACAACTGCCGAGTACACCAAGTGGTCAGCAGGAATGACAGTGCTGAGTGGTCCATCCACTAGACAGCACTAGTTACTGTTGTAAGGGAGCACACTTCATTTTGTCAGAGGAGAAGAGTCTTCTCTTCACCCCACACCAAATCCATTACTACATCCTGTTTTCTCTACCTTCAAAATATATTGAGAATCTTAACATATCTGCAGCCTCCTTGGCTACTTCTCTGGTTCGAGTAACCATCCTATCTCACTTGGATTCCTGTGATAGCCTCTTAATTGGTGTCCATGCTCTACCTTGTCACTCAGCAGTCTATGTTCAATACAACAGCCAACTGATACTTTTAAAATTTAAGTTAGCACCCTTCCTTCCTCTATTAGAAACCTTGCAGTGGCTCCCTCGTTAGCTCAAAGAAGTAGCCAGAATCCTTATTTGGCTCCAAAACCTCACTCCATCCGGCCCCATTACCCCTCTGAACTCTCTTCCTAATTCTGTCCCCCTTTATCACTTGCCTGAACCATGGAAGACTCTTTTGACAGTCCCCAAATACTCTATGCATCTTCTCACCTGAGGGTCTTTCCTCTAGCTGGTACTTCTATCTTGAATGCTCCTTTATCAGATATCCTCTTGGCAGAATTCCCTAACTTTATTCCAGAATGCAAATTAAAATCTCATCTCCCCAGTGAAGTTTACCTGACCACCCTATTTAAAACTGCTATCTGAACACACCCGTATCTTACTACTGACCCTCTGTGCTCTGCTCGACTTTTCCCCTTTTTTCTACAATATTTATCAGGTTCTATATACTGTGTTAATTATAGTACTGGTCAGCTTAGCCTGTCATACTTCTGTGATACTATGGTAACTGAAGACCTCGATGACTTAGAACAGCAGTGTTTTATTTGCAGTGTCTTTCATTCTGAATATTCCATGCTGAATTGCCTTTCTCCTGGTAGAGAGAAGAGACAGCAGAAGCTTCTGCTTAGAAATAATGCCCATTACTCCCACTGACGTTTCATTAGCTAAAACAAGTAATATGGTCAAGCCTGAGGTCAAAAATGTAGAAAATAAAATCCTCCACAGAAAGGGGCTTCATACTAGTTAATGTTTATTATTTATTGTGTGTTCTCCCACTAGTACCTCAAGGGCAGGGCCCTTTATCTGTTGTGTTTGTTTTGTTTTTTTCCTAGTAAATATTAAGTACCTAGTACAGAGTTTGGCACATAGTGGCTATGAAGTAAAGTTTTATTGAATGAATGAATGAACACAAATACACTGTTTATTATATGGTTTTGCTTTTAGAGCTGCCATGGCTAAGGTGAATGCTGTCTGTCATACTTAAAAAAAAAGATTATAGGCTTATCTAGTAATTAATTTATTGTTGACATTTCATGGTTAACTTAACATCCTGTAGTGGAGGATAATGAATAATGTTCCAGTGATCAGGGGATAAGAGTGCATAGCTGGTTCTGTAGCGTTGTCACTAGTTTATTGCCCTTGGAAATGTTTCCTTTGTTAACAGAATCCATATAGCAATGTGTTTAACCCAAAGGAATGTGTCATGATTAGCTTAGGCCAATAATGTCACTACTTTTCTTTTCTTAACCCTTGTAGAAATTGTTCTGGGATGACTTCCTTAAGAGGGAGTTTGCCGAGGGCATCTGGGAATTCATTTCCTCCCTAATAAAAGAGATATTTGTATACCAAGAATGTCTTTTTTAGTTCTTCTCTCTGTATCTTCCATCTTGGATTCTGCTGGGTGAAGATGACATGCCTAGAACTAGGGCAGCCAGTACATAACCACGAGGTGACAGACATGAGAATGAAAGCAAACACACAGAGAATGAAGGATTAGAACAATGAAAAAGCCAATCCTTTTACCACATTGTTGAGCTGCCAAAACAACCCTATATTTGCCATCCTACAGAATTCTTGGTAAGTAAACAATGCATACACTTGAGCAGTGGTTCAAAACATTGTAATTTAGGTGTTTTGTTCTGGCAGCTGAATGCATCCTGAGACAGATCAGTTGGGTGTAAAAAATCATAAACAAATATCACATCTCAAATCACAGCAATATGGTTTAAGAATGTCTGAAATAAATAAGGAATACAAACTGAAAGCATAATTTTGGGATATTACCCATACATTTGATATGGTCAAAATGCTAGAATGTAAACTGAATATAAATGGAGAAAAACTTTAGAAAATAATTAACTTGATTTTGACTTACCTTGACTCAGAGAAGCAGTTTGAGAGTTTTTTAGTTGTCAATCAGCTGTTTTAAAATCACATAGATTCAGTCATAATTAGAAACATTCTACTCATAGTTTATCACCATTTTAATGTGAAAATAACAAACACATAGTAATTATTTTATTATTTACCTAGCATACAAGCTTGACCTTGAAAGGGTCTAGTTCTAATTTGAAGGTAAATATGGTTTTATAATTTTATAGGCAATGGAACATATCTTTGAAAGCATCTGACAATCAGTATGAGACTTTCAGTATTAGTGTATCACCTGTGAAAAATGGAGGTTTTGCTCCAAATTGAGGATAACATTATGGGTTGTAGGAGATATATGCTATATTTGACCCTATGGGAGGATAAGACAGTGACATGAGCAAGGGAATAAATAGCATTCCTATGGAACTGAAATGTATATTAGTTATGAATTCATTTGTAAATAATAGACAATTCTGTTACCATGGCTTAAACAGGTTTTCTTTGTCTTGTGAAGCAGGAAGTTAAAGATGGGAAATTCAGGACTGCCGTCAGGGTTCAGTGATGCCACCAGAAACTAAAGCTGTTTCCAGTCTCAGCTTTTCTATCCTTATTATGCATTTATTAACCCTTATATTTCCTATCTCGGTTGAAGGATGGATTTTTCACCTTATGTTGGCATTCCTGGGCAGCAGAAGGCTGAGTACTAAGCTTCACTAGGTTTTGCTTTTTGACTTGAGGAAGAAACCCTCAAGGGCTTCTCATGATAGCTCATTGGCCAGAACTGTGTCACAAGACAACCCATGGCAGCCAGGCAGTGTGGGAAGTTGAGTATTTTTTACTTTCTAACCTTTAAAGTAGAATAATTCAAGGGTGAAAATAATCACAAATGGGATTTAGAGACTCACTAAAGAGGGTGATTATATGGAAAACAGTTTCTTTTGTGGTCTCTCTTCTCTGGAGCTGAGAAAGTACTTATGAATCTTCATAAATATGGAAGGAAGAAGCATCTTTTTCTACCATTCCAGTCCCGTTCTCCCTGCCTGCAATCCATTCTCTTCTTCCATTTCCACTATATGAACATTACTCATCTTCAGGATCAACTACATAATTTTTGGTGTCCCATGCAGACTGAAAGTGTGGGGCTCTGCCCAACAGCTTAAAAATCAGTCTCGCATTCAGATGGGACCATCACCACAGCCCATGGTGATGCAGTTTCTGTGCTGGGACACACTTCATATCTGGATCAGGGGTGGATGGGAAGCCTCTGCTGAGCTGCTACTGAATGTTCCTTTCCTGACTCTTCCAGTTCTTTCTGGCCTCCAGCTGTGCTCTGTGTGTGGTCATAATTCCCTTGCCTGAGGGTCAGCCTCTTGGGTGGTTGCTCTGTGCTTTACACGGTTCTCAGCTTCACTCCAGTGTTGAGCCCTTGGTAGATCCCTGATGCATCATTAACTGCCTCTGTCCTTTGTCTTTAACCACAGCTGGCAGTCTCTCAGTGGTGATCACAATCCTGCTACCCAGTGGCCAGCAGTGAAAGTTTGTCCACTATAGTAGAGCTAAATGTTTGCACAGAGAATTTTCTGAAGGTGCTCACCATGCTTCAGGTCAGTGTTCTTCCTAGGGACTCCATGCCAAGGCTTCAGGGAGGGCTTAAAGTCACATTCAGCATCCCCAATTCGGGAAGGGCTGTAGAGGCAGAACTCACTTTCTCCCTCCTGGTTTTAGACTTAGTTTCTTCTTTAATTCCTATTATAAGCTGGGGCCTCACATTGTCTATTCTCTGTACAGTGTCACATTCAGAGAAATAGCTCAGCTATCAAAAAGTAATTAAAAGCAATCCCACCATTTACTGATATTTCTTGAAGAAGGTCTAAGGGATTTAATGCATAATTCATATCAATATTCTCACACTCTGTTGCTGCCTCCAAAACCTTGGTGTCCATACCTTATAATCTACGTCCTACAGAAACTCTTATAGAAGCACATTTTATTTAGCTCTTGGAATTTTCACTGTTTCCCTCACACTATTAGATTTTTTCTTTTATTTTCCTTTAAGTGTAAGTATAGTTTCTCCTGATCTCCCCACCCTAACAATATTTCTTCTACCCGACAAGATACATAGAAAAGCCCAGGGACTTCTCTGATAGGCTCAGAATTTCCCTTTGACGTTTGGAAACAGAGAAACCTAAAAGGCAGAGAGAGACTTTATTTTGTGGGAAGAGAGGAGGGAGAAGACTGAAACATTTTAATTAAATATCTTTTAAAATTCCTATCTCTCTGAGACTCACTACCCATGCCTGCCTGAACTCCCTTCCCCCAGACAAGGAAAAAATTCATCTCACTGAGTACACGCAGAACTGTGCTTGGGGGCAGAGAGCCAAGATTGGTTTCTGTTTATCATAGGAAAGAGCTCAAGGTACTTAGTTTTAAGCTGCACTGAATCTAGTATCATTCATCTGTTTATGTTCTTTTAAAAAAGCCTTTAAAAATTCAGTGCAGAACAACAACAACAAAAAAGCAAATTGTCCTTTGATTCCGTAATGGCTTTTATTCCCCAGAACTGTGGTGTGCAAATAAAGGAAAGGAAATTATGTTCTGAATTAAACTTTTCTTGCTTCAGCTGGGCTGAGTCACCTTTGACGTTCCATTTTTTGAACAGAACCGGCCGCACGTCTAGAGTTATTTTAAAAGATATCACGTACTAACTTGCAAACTTTAGAATGTTCTACTTCAGGCAAATCATCCAAAGGAAAGTAACTGAGCTGAATTTACCCATATATTTCCCTAGGCTTCGGTTCCCTCCCAAATCTTTTGGTATCTATAGTAGCATCCAGAATATTAAAGTACAGTCATTACAGATGCATGCCTCTCTGGTCCTCCTGGATGCACCACAGATGGCAAGATGCAATCAAAGGGGGAAGATAAATGCATTAAACTTCCCCTTGCATATATCCCTTGGTAGGGAGATAAGCAAATGGTAAGCAGTTTTTCAGTAAACAACTTCAGAATGTTTCTTAGGTTTTTAAATCAGCCAAGAACACAAGTGAGAGCCTATGGTCCTAATAACTTAAGTCCGTGATAGATTCAGGCAGAATGTTATCTGTAAAGGGTGAGAAGAGAGTGGTATCAAGTGTACATAATCAACATTAAGCAGAGGACTTACAGATTAGTATTCTACATCTCTCTGCTTTTTCCGTAGAATTTTTTTTTCAAAGAATGCTAGATGTGAAGGCATCCTTAGAGCCCGTACAGTCAGCAGCAATTCTCCGTTTCTTTATGGGAGGGACTTGGGCCATCAGTCTGGTGAGAGGACGAAGGCAGCTGGAGCATATGTCTCGAAACCTTGTTCTTTTGCAAGTATGCTAGTTTTATTTAGAGACTGTAAATATTCAGGGTGTCTAGGAGAGTGCCGATGGAGATTATTTGAGAAGAAGGTGAGCTGGCTAGCACCCTACCACGCCACACCCTCCTTGATGCTATTTCAATAGGGTAGAGTCCAAAAGAGTGGAGTTAGCATTCTGAAATATTTTTGAGAAAGAAACATTCACTTTGAATGGTTAGAAACAAACTTCCAGAGGACACCATGACATCAACTGGACACCTCTGATTTTTTTGGAGGTTTAATGGAGACAGTTTTGTGTATGGCCTGGAGCATGGATTTTAGAGTCAGAGAGACTTGTTTTCAAATCCCAATTCCACCATTTACTTGTTGCTTGACTTTGGGCAAGCCACTATACCTATCTGACTCTCAGATTCTTTATTTGTAAGTGACCTACTGCCTAGGGTTGTGTGGATCAAGATGGCACATGCATAGTTCCTAAGACATTGCTTGGCACCTCCTAGGTGCTTGGAAATGGTAGCTAATATTATTAATGTCATCACCAATGTTATTGCTCTGTTGAAACAATATCTGCTCCCCTGTGTTGCCCCTCTGTGTATTATGTACAAAGGGCTAGGGGTGTGCTGAGGAGAAGACCCTGAATCCTGACTGTGGGAAGTAGGGTAGGCTTCATAGAAGAAATGACATATTTTTGCAGGTTCTAAAGGATGAACAGAAGTTTATTAGCTGGGAATTGGGATTTAGGGGTGGAGAATTCCAGATAGAGAGAAAGAACAGTGTGTGTGTAAGGAAAACAGGTTTAGAGTGATTAGTCCTAAGGAACCAGGGCATAGGTGTAAGGAAAGGGAGATGGTTGTGGGGCTGGGATAAGAGAGGAGGAGCAGGATATGAATGTGAATAATAGTCAGAAACCTTGTGAGACTGACAAATTCACACTTACTCTGTGTGTACTGCAGAGCCACTTAGAGGTTTTTAAGCTGGGAAATGTCACAGTAAGATTGGTGTTTTGGAGACAATTCTGGTATGTTATGAAGGGTTTATGCGGAGAAATACAAGATGAGATGCAGGGACACTAATTAGGAAATTATTGCAATACGGAGGCTTAGTTTAGATCAGAGGCAGTAGAAATATAGAGATGAAGGTGTATTTCAGAAACAGAAAGGCAGGATTCTGAAGTGAAAATATTTATCCCTCACTACAGAGTCTCTTTCAGACATTCTAAGACAACTGTTGTGAGTTTTCTTGATCTTCCATTTGCCAACCATTTCCCAGCCCTTTGATTGTTTCAACTTAGAGCTGCTTTGTCTTCACTAGCGTACATTTTGTGAGTAATCTGAATCTGTCATTTTCCTGCTTTAAAATGAGAAGCCTAAATTGAAACCCATACTTGAAATGTAGACTCATCAACCCCCACAAACCAGACAGGGTACATCTAGTATTTTATATAAAATGGCATTCTTTTTTAAGTCTTGTCATAATCTTTTGAACTTGTGGTCAGCTAATACTTTCAGATCTTTTTTGCCTCAACAGTTGTTATGCCACTTTTTAGCATTTGATTTGCAAGGTTTCCACTTGTTCACATAATTTGATATTTTGACAGGCTGAGTTAGTTGCGCAGGTGTCTGGGAAAATCCCTGGACAGTTATATTTTAAAATAGCTTCTTTTCCTAAATAAGTGAGAGTGATTTATGAGTAAGCACATCTGTTAAGCTGTTTGGTAAACTGTTGGTGTGAGCTTCTATAGAGTAAGCCATGGTTCAAAACATTATCTTAAATCTGGAGTCCAAGACCGCTAGCTCTGAAATCCCCTTACCCCTACCCTTAGACAAGCTATTTTACAGAAGAGGAATATGGGGGGAAATGGGCAATCTGTCTTAAAAAGATACATTTAGACTTCATTTGATTCATAGATCATCGACAGATTCACCCATCATTTTCCATAAACCAAAACCATCTATCCAAATACAAGGTGGTATAATGATAATTCATGTGAAAAAAAACTGAAGATTTTTGTTGATAAACTCATAATGTGGCCTTGGGCAGATCATCTTCTTAGATGTGCCTTAGTTTCCTCACCTGTAAAATAGGGAAGACAACAATAAAAATAACAATAAAAATAATAACTGTCTCATGGAGGTCATTATGACGATTAATCACGTTTGTGAGATAATTAGAATTCAGCCAGTCTTATAAAAAGTGCTATAAGTAAGTACAGTATAAATATTTGTTAACTAAGTGTCACTCTCTGTCATCACTACCACAAACTGATGCAGCCCTGCATTCTCTGTTCTTTAGCTTACCCTCAGTTGAGTAAGAATATTTGATCATTTATCAAGAAATATTTATTAAGCACCTACTGTATTCCAGACATGGTGTTTAACTTGTGCTTATACAAGATTAAGAAGACATGACCTTTGCTTAAAACATTTAGAATCCAGTGGTGTTTAGAGATGCTTAAACCACCAATTACAGCACAGGCCATATGGAAAAATCAGTGACTTACAACCTGTGAAGTTATGATAAGTATTCAAGTCTCTCTACATATTTACATATTTTCTTTAAAAAATGGGTTCTAGAAGTATGACTGTTGCATGTGGTAAGAGGTTAGGATCTATAATGTGTTTTGTCCTAAAAATAAGTCCTTAAAAATGTAGGCAGTATTGATCTCTTAGAAACAGATGAGAATTCCTGGGTGCAGAGGTGACTAGAATACAATGGGGATAAAATTAGTGCCAAATTAATGTTTGGAAGTAATTATGGTCATATTTCTGCATCATGGAAGTTATCTCTGCTAGACTGTTTTAGATATTGTCATCTCAAACCTTTTTTTACAATGAGATAATAAACCGATAGCATAACCTTATTCACCTTTAACTGTGCATATTTGACACACAGATCAATAAAACACCTTTTCCTATGTGTGCCTTCCAGCACCCCACACATAAACCAGAGGTCAAGTGGCATTGTGAAAACATTGATCTTTCACTACGCTTCTATGGTCATTTAAAGCATTTACAATCATTCTTCACTGACAATACTATTATGAGTCAATTCACCTTGCAGTAACCTATACTTAACTAGGCTGACAACTAAAATGGTCAGACAAGCTGTATAGCATTCTTTCCTGCCTATAGCCAAAGTCTAATTGTACTTTTTAAAAAACACAATGGAAGATTAAGCTGGTATGGTAAGGCTGTATCCAATCACTGTCCCAGTTTAGAGGAACTTAAGCAGGTTGTTTAATACCACTCTCTTCCTTTCATCACCCATCCTTCCATTGGAATTACAGGTATTCTGGAACGTTGCAGGATTAAATTGCAGTGATAAATTGAACAGGGCCAAGTCAAGTCTACAGGCATAGGAGGGCACCACATCCTTTGAGACTTCATTGAGAGCACTGGGGACTTCCCAGGAAGACCAGTGCTCTCCTGCAGCAGATGGGAAGGCAGCCCAGTTGAAAACGTGGCTTCAGGCTTTGAATGAATCTCACTTGAATAAAGGCTAGATGTTCTGCAAATTATGATGTGGTGTCCACGGAGCTTTTGAACACACCAAAAAAGTCCCTGCTGGAAGTAACCTGGTTGAGACATCTCTCATTCTTGTAAGAATCCTGCAGATTCACCACGATTCTAAAAATCCTTATTTTTCTCTCCTTTTCCTCTCAAATGCATCCATTTTTATGCTTTTGAAACAGAAGCATCTAAAATAATGCATCTAATAGAATTTAAGCCTTTGGAAACACTAGAGACAGATTGGCAGGCTATTTCTGCTTCCTACTCTGGTAAACTCAAGGACACAGACCAGGAACCTACTAACTGCTTGAATGGAGATACTTAAAGGAAAGAAGGGACAGGTTGAGAGGGGCAAAGAATATAAGCAAGATAAAGAAAAATTGGTTAGTATTTCAAACAGCTCTACAGCAGCTCAGTTACCCAGAGAGGCCCCCCACGGTCCATGGACCTCGACTGAAGCTGCAGGGGTTCGATTCCTGTTCTGGCACTTGCTAGCTGAGGTGCTGTCCACAAATGACTTGATCTCGCTAGACCTCAAGGATTCCCACCTGAGCGGATCAGGGTAACAACAGCACTCTTTCTCATGGGTTGTTATATGAGGATTAAGCAAGTAAATATGTGGCACACTTAGAAGCATAAACATAAACACTCAAGTGAAATATTAGAACTGGTAGAACTGTTATTATAAGTAAACATGTTTCAAATTCTCATACTTACAAACCTCAGAATATACTTTTTACCAATCCTAAAATTGCCCAACTATTAGAAAGGGTTAGAAAAGTAATCTTGTTATTATGGTCTCACAAAGGGTGACGACTAAGGCTCTATAAATATGCAGACAAAAGGACCTTTGGGATTGAGCTCAAGCTGTTATGGATGTGAAGACAAAGAAAAACTTCTCGAGTTTAGGGAAGAAGAGAAGAGTCTGGAACGGGATAGAGAAGAGATTTCAAAGCTGAGCCAGAATCTCAATTATGTCTTAAATTCAACCACTCTCTAAACGACTTCCATGCTGGCAGTCATTTTTCTGCTTTTGTTTTGTTTATAATTCTATCAGGAGATATTTCCATGAGAACAAATTTCTGGCTATTAATAGGAAATCAGCGGTAAAGCAAGTTTCACTTTGCTGAACTTATCGATTCCGTAAAATGAAAGCAGCCCGTATCTCCTCTACATCGGCCAGGGCAAAGAGCACTCAGCGAGGAGTCAGGCTTGTTTCTTTCTAAACTGCCTGTCTTGGCCCTTTCAGATCCGCCAGGGCTGAAAAGGAAAAGGGGTGTTCTTTAGCTTCACACAAACTCACAGCCATTTTGATGACAAGAAAGCAGTGTTGCTTCCCAATGCGTCTTTGTTCGAGTGATAGCAGGCCCATTGAAACCTCTGATGGAGCTCATTGAAAATAATAGGCCCCATTATCTTCACTGGCAATGCTGCCATGGGAGCTTCAAACACTGAAATAATGACAGCACATATTGGACGTACAGTAGAAAGGCATAGCGTGATTATGGGCAATTTCTGGCTCTCTTCTGCACACCTCTGTGGATGAGGAGGGGTAGGGCGGGAGAGCACAGAGAAGGGGCATTTCGTCTCTGTGCCCTTTGGGGATGTTTGTATCTTTCGAACTTAAAGGCTTTGTCTTATATAATTTGTAAAAAGTGAAATACCAATTTCAGAATCACTGAAGAAACCAGAGTTTGGGAGTAACGGGTTCTTTAATTTAGTATTGAAATTCTGTCATATTTGGTTACGCTAGGGACGGCTGCTGCGGAACTGGTATGAAATTTCTATCTGAGAGACAGCAAATACAGTAGCACAGGGTGACTCGGGGCTCGATCGATTACAGGACAGTTTCTGTGAGATCACAGAGGCCTCCCTTTCCCCAGGTCTGCTGTCTCTGTAAACCCCAGTGTTCCCAGCAAATCTGATTTTCTAGAGTTGGGAGGAACAAACAGGAAGAGGGAGAAACCTGGAAGGAAGGGACACATCAGCCCCTAGAAAAACACCCGGGAACAGGCCTCTCAGGCTGTGAGAAATTACCAGGAGAAACGTTCTCCTGAGGGCTTAATGAGAGCAAGCAGGAAAGGGCTCCCCCAGGGGGAGAGCAGGCTCTATCTCGTTAAAGTGTGGAGATGGGGGGGATAGAGAATATTTGCTTTTAGGGGGATCTTTTTTTTCTCACTTGTTATTATCTCTATGTTTTCAGAAATGAAGTCTTAAAACCAGCACCCAACACACACAGACATTATTTTTTTCATTTGAAACAAGTCCAAGAACACAGTGTGCCATGTACATCACCCCCGAGGCTCGTATTTAATATAAGAACAAGATGGTCTCCCTGCTTCCCTAGTGCCTGACGAGAGCTGGGGAGAGGCCTGTGGCAGTAGCAGCCTCGTCTGGCTGCTGTGGCAAAATGAGAAGTGACAGAAAGGAAAAGGATCTCTAATAGAAACTGCCCACAAATCTGTCCAGTGGTTGAGGCTGGCAGTTACATTCCCCTAGTCCCAGGTAGGGAGTACTGAGAGGCAACTGCAAGAGCTTATTGCGACTTAACATCTACGTGGGAAGTAACCTCACTCTCCCCACTCATCCTTCTGGCATATGCTTGTCTGTATTTAGTCTGACATGTGACTACTTCCTTTAAGGGACACAGTTCAAGTGACAATGTTATTTTATTTGAGAGATGTTACCCCTTGGGAAACATGTGCCAGTCTACCTTACCAGCACGCATGATCGCACAGGCATACTCTAATGCCACGCGTGGCCCCTCCTTGTCACACCAGACAGAGAAGCCTGCACCCGCAAAAGGCAAGTGATGATTCTCTGGGTGGCTTGGTGTCTGCATAGCAAGGTGCTGGGTGGGTCTCTGCACCTTGGTGCTTCCATTTATGTAGCAAGACTAAAAGCTCCTTCAGATCCCTGACGGTTCTGTCTCTATGCATGGCACCTAATGGGTGCTCAATAGATATTTCTGAATTAAACTGTCACCTGAATGTAAAAGTCATTACTACTAAAAGTAAAATACAAGAAGGTTTTAAGAAAAGAAATTAAATGTCTTGTTTGTATTTATAGCTTCTTACATTAAGGAAGTTTGCCTCTTTAAAATCTCTTAGAAATGGAATTCAAGGCCAGAATTTTATTATATTTATAAAACTCTGTCTTAGTCCCTTCAGCCTTGTATACAAAACACCAGAGACTGGGTAGCTTAGAAACAACAGAAATCTATTTCTCACAGTTCTGGAGGCTGAGAAGTCAAGGTGCTGGCAGACTCTGCCTGGTGAGAGCTCCCTTCCTGGTTCATAGATCGAGCC